TCCACATGATTTTGATCACACTCCTCGAAAATATAAGAGTATAGCTGAAGTTTATGAAAGATGCAATGTCTGCATCATTGAGCCTGAGTCATTTGAAGAAGCTGTCAAAGATGACTCATGGCAGAAAGCAATGAAAAATGAGATTGAAATGATAGAGAAGAATAACACTTGGGATTTGGTTGACAGACCCTCTGATAAACCAGTTATTGGAGTTAAGTGGGTGTATAAAACCAAGCTAAACTTGGATGGTTCTGTTCAGAAGAATAAAGCACGACTGGTGGCAAAAGGTTACTCTCAAAAGCCTGGAATAGACTTCAATGAGACCTTTGCACCAGTGGCAAGGCTAGATACAATTCGAATTTTGGTGGCTTTGGCAGCACAGAAAGGATGGAAGCTATTTCAGTTGGATGTGAAATCAGCATTTTTGAATGGAGTGTTACATGAAGAAGTTTATGTTGATCAACCACCTGGTTTTGTGATTAAGGACAAGGAAGATGGAGTTTATAGACTGAAAAAGGCCTTGTATGGTCTTAAACAAGCTCCAAGAGCTTGGTATGAAGAGATCAATTCTTATTTTGAACAAGCTGGTTTTAAAAGGAGTCTTAGTGAGGCAACTCTATATGTGAAGTCTGCAGAGAGTGGCATCCTTATTGTTTCACTCTATGTAGATGATATCATCTATACTGGAAGTTCTAGAGAATTATTGATGGATTTCAAGACTGAAATGATGAAGCAATATGAAATGACTGATCTTGGTCTGTTACATCATTTTTTGGGATTAGGGGTGATACAAACTGAGACATATATCTTCTTGCATCAGAAGAAATATGCAAAGACTCTTCTGGATAGGTTTGGTTTCAAGGATTGAAGTCAATCGCTACTCCTCTTGCAGTGAATGAGAAACTGTCTAAGTTTTTTAGCTTTAATTTTTTTTATTGTTTATAATAATTTTAGCCTCTAAAAATATCAGAATTATAAAAAAATACACTTGAAAAACAATTGTACCACCAGACACGTTTTCATTGTTTTTGTTTTCTGAAGATGTTTTCTAATTAATCTACCAGACGCATTTTCATTTCCTGAAAATGCAAATTTGTTTTCTTGTTTTCATTCTCTGAAAATATTCTCTGAAAACACTCTCCGAAAACGTTACCAGACGGGCCCTTAATGTTTTCGCTTTGTTTTTGGGGGATGATTAATTTGATCAATAGAGCTGCTTTATTTTACAGCTAATTATTTTTAAAGTACAGCATAAACAACTTTTTAATAAGTGACAACAATCTCAAACTGGTTCTAAGTTGATTTAAAAAAATTTATAGGTTGTAGGTGTGCACACACATATATTATTGCTCAAAAATCTTTAAAGGCCAATTTGAACATCCAATGTTTGAGTGATTAATTAACTTTCTTAATTCATCATTGCTACAATCAATTAACTTCTTTAATTGACTCAATTATCTTCGGTGCATTTGGATGAGGAAATTTAAAAATATTAAGAAATTCATAAAGGATGAAATTTAAATTTGAATGAGGAAATTTAAAAGTACTAAAAAATTC